CGTGCTGTCAAACCTACACTAGCAAGGAGATCGGGCTGAAACTATAGCTACAAGCTATCCAAGGATGGTACTATAGAATGTCACCTCAAGGTAGGCCTAGTGGCGTCATCTCTTGGTTAGGCCGGAAACTTATCAATCCACCCTCGTATATAATCGCATATGTGTTCAGAAATTTTGTAACGTGGCGTCTTGCGGTTTTCTGTACCAATTTAGCAGATGTCAAATACAATTATGTAATTTTATACTGCCTACATTTAAGCGTAAAATAATGAAGGCATCTTGAAGAACATTTGTTTTTGCTCCAAGTAAAACTTTAAACACGAAAGCGTAAAGAACTACCACATCTTTACAACGATTGATTTTTGTATATTATATTAGTTATATGTCAATTATAGATAGGAACAATTGTAAGTTAAGAACGAGCAAAAATAAAAAAAAAATACAACGTGTAATTATACAACACGCTACTGAAGTGAAACTTCTTCAAACACACAAACACAGCGGGATAGGGGTTAAGGAATTGGCGTCAGCGGAGTCGTTTCGACTGTAGAGTGCAAATACATTAATACATTTTGTTAGGGCTACACTATACATGCTGGAGTTGCCTGTAACAAACGTTGCATTGAAGCGCGCTCACGGCTCAAGCGTTTCAAGTTTCACTTCAAAAATAAGTTTCATATCTTCTTTCTACTAGGCTCAGAAAAACATAATATTTACCCTTAAGAACCAAACGTAAACATAACCCCATTCTTCTTGACTCCATCCCTTTCTTTTCATCAATATTTCTTTCAAACGGAACAGTCCATCCCCACACACATATATTGTTAGGAATCTTATATTTATCAAAATTTTCACTTTCCTTACATCCTCCCTATACAGCATGCCTCAATGTTTTATAATTCGCCCCGCCTTTTCACATTTTCTACATACCCTTTTTTCTTTCTTCATCCAATGCTTACACCAGGAGTGAGTGCTAAATACCTTTCATCTCCTATATATATTCTGGTGTCCAGTCCTTCTGTCAATGCTCCCACAGTAAGACTTTCAAAAACAAATTGGACGAAACCAGATATTTTATAAGCTCTTGGGAAATGTGGTTTATAGGTTAGGATACACAAGGTCAGAATTTGAGAATATTAGCCTGCGGTAGGAATTGTGTAAACCGTTTATCATAACTTCATAACACCTTTCAAGTTTTTTTTTTAAAATTTCAGAAACAATTGTTTCTTTCACCTGTAGACGTCACTGTACAACAAATCATTAAAAATAATTTACTTTATTTGATTAATATTCACGTCAAATGACCAAACAATTTTCTTCTAATTATTCGCGTATAATAATCCAACATTTTTAGCAGTCGAATTTTTGAAGGCAAACTTGTTATTTTTATTTCTATATAACATCGTATTTCTTAAAAGACGATGACTTCTTTGATGATTAAGTGTAACAGAATATCCATATGCTCCGTTTTCAACTAACTACTGGTGTATGTATTATAAATGTTTAATTTATTTCATGGTTTTCACGTTTTAAAAATGCAGAAATGTCGTTCATGAAAACCGTCGTCGAACCATTGATCAACTCAGTTAGATGTCTGGAACATCATGGAGTTCAATTCAGAAGATTTTATCTAAAGATTTGAAAGATGAGAAGAGTTGAAGCCAGATTTGTTCCTCGCCTTCTCACAAGCGCAAAGAACGTCTCGATAAGTGAATTTAAGGGATGTTTTGAAGAATGGAAGAATTGTTTGCAGGGGTGCGGTGGTCAAGGGAGAATACTTTGAAGTTGATCAATATTTGGTGTAAAAATATTAAGAAATAAGGAAGTCATGACGAAATTCTCGTTCTTTTTTTTTGGGTCCCTCCCTCGTATGCGTTTCAAACATCATTATATGTTTTCTGTTTATTGTGTATTCTGTTTACGCCAAGGTGTCTGTATTTAAAACTTATTTATCATACAGAAAATTCGTAGTTATTTGTTGTAAGCATGGCATTGAGCTGAACATTTCGTAACCACATCCACATTACCGTATGGATAAACAACAGAAGGATCACAACAAAATAAGTTACCGATTTTATCTAGAAGTTGAATGTAATTATCTATTAGTAAATAAATGATTGTGGTAAAAAATAACTCAGTAGGAATGTTCTTTTAAAACCAGCGACAACAAAAGAAATTCACGCTTTAATATAAATTCCTTCATCATTAGGTAGCTATCCATTCTACAAAACGATACTGAAGTGACGTGAAATTGAATCATTTTAATGTTCCTATTCATTCAAATCAAATCATTAAACTGATATATATCCATGATTAACAACATATGTGATTGCTTTTATCTATTAAAAATTGCATTTTTAAAGTTGTTATCAAAATTAAACAGTCCGAAAAACAAGAAATACATGAAGCGAAAATCTCCAAGCAACGAAGAGACATATGATGAACGAAACAGATTAGCGCCGGCGTTGTCCAACAGTTTAGAAGTAAACAGTTCCCAATTTCTTTTGACAGTAAAACCCTAATTGATCCACCGTTTTATTCGTCATCATGATTTGCACTCTGAGAACCCCTGAAACTCTTGCACAGAACATCGGCAGTGTTTCAAAGAACACCATTTAGTGAACACGCCTAGATCATCACTCAGCATTCGGTAGAACACCAACAGGTTCTAATCCAGGTCTGCCTATGCTAGTCCAATTTTTTTGCGGTTTCTTTGGGTCATTTAGACAAATGCCGGGCTAGTTATATATTCCACAGTATCATGTATATCACTTCTATCCTGCCTTCACTTCGACCAAGTCGTCTGTCTCTCTTCAACTACCACTCAGCCATTTCCACGATTCCTATATGAAAGTTGAAGAGAATCCTCCGTTTTATTCTCCGGCTTTTCACGCCTCATTAAAGTTTTGGTAAATCAGTCAGGCTTTTATAAATGCTGGAATTCTGTCAGGCTTAGATTGCGACCAACGGGCTGGTCGTATTCTACGATGTGTTAATGAAAACCAACAAGTTCCAAATTGGGACCCATGTCTTTCGACAAAATAGTGTTAAATTCTCACTAAACATCAAGATATTTGCGATATTTAATTAAAAATTCTGCTTCAAGGAAAGCAGGTCTAAGGCGCAGTTCCATGCTTTAATTAGACATTTCAATAGTCAGGTAATTCCAGAAATTCCTATTATTAAAGAAGAGAGCTGTATGAATTTCCATTACAAACATAGGTATGACTGAGATAACCCGTCAAAATACGGGTAGGATGTCATGTCATCAATATTCGAGTGGCTCCACGCTGCTGATGAGGGAATTTTTGGTCAAGCACAGCATTACTTCAGTCCCCCTACAGTCCAGATCAAACACCTCCAGACTTCTTACCCTTTCCTCAGCTCAAGGGAAACCGATACAGCTCCGTAGAAAGCGTCCAAGGGGGCGTGATGGCATCTCTAAGAGGGATCCCGGAACTCGAGTTCCAGAAGGCGTACATGTAGTGGGAATCGCGTTATACGCGTCTTATCGAAGCACAAGAGTGTTATTTTGATTACTACTAAGGATTTGTACCAATTAGTTCAAGAAAAATACAACGTGTAATCATACAACATGCTACTGAAGTGAAACTACTTCAAACACACAAACATACCGGGATAGGGGTTAAGGAATTGGTTTAATGGAATTATTTGTACACTATGCTTCGCACGTGTGCAATGCTGATAGTAAATATACTGTAGAATGTCTTTATATACAACAATCGCAGCTTTTTTGTCATTAGACAATGTAAACCGGCCGGTACCGCCGCAATCGCTGTCCCTGCATTTTAAGCCTGTAATATCTTCGAAAATATTCATTTAAATTACATGCACAATGTATTTAAAAGTAATTAATTGGATAAGGATTAATGCTGTATTACATAAAATTGCTTCGTAAATTGGCTATCATTGCTCGTAAAAAGTAAAGGATAAAAAATGGTTATTGTGGGTTATCCCTAAGAGATAGACATGTACCATTTAAGGTGTACAATCCTGTAGTATATTATTTTGATCTATCTCGTAGGGTTCAGCCAGCGTTTGCAATGTAAGCGCAAAAAATGTGTTTATTTACGACATCACATTACAAACCTCTAAAATTTTCAGTGTTTCTCTACTGTATTTAGCAAGTATTATAAATGTAAATCTTCCTCTTGAGTTACTCTATCTATTAAAAAAACCACATTAAAATCCGCTGCGTAGTTTTGAAAATCTAAGCATACATAGGGATAGACAGCGGGGGAAATGCGTTGCATGATTTCGTTACATAGCAACTCGCATGAAACGAACTTATCCTACCGTTCATAAAGAAGTTTCACTTCAAAAAAATGTTAATTAATTGAGTCCTACTACTTTTTGATCCATCCTACCCTATATGTATGATGAAGTGATAATTATGAAAAACATGAAAATTCTCACTACCGTTTTAGGTATCCCCTTCTATGATACGACACTGTCATATGTGCGTCCTTGTACAAACGATTCACAAATTTCGAAACAGTTCAATAGCTTTTACGCTCAGAAAAAGGTTAACGTAGGTACAACTTTAATTACATTCAGTTTACTAACGATAAGCTAAGTTCCCTCTTTTATTTTATGTAAAAAGTTAACCATAATGAGCTGACTCATTAAAATTACAAAAAAAAAACGTTCATTTTCGCGAATAACTAAACGCGCTCTTTTTGCCAGATGTGGTTAATCTTGTTGACAGACTGACCAGAGTGTGAAATTTTATATTGTAGCTGTTTCTTGCGGATTTACAGCGGCAGGGCTGTGGTCGTTCTTTTTATCGACCCATTTGTTTGTTGCAAATTGGTACAACGTGTAATAGCAGTATCATAATCTACCTAACGTATGTATTTGTACCCACATACCTCTTCACACGTAACAATTACCGACTACTCAAAATCATCCAAATTACCATAATCGCAGTGGTGTAGAATGTATGAGGTCACAAGGGCATACTCTGATGGCTATTTTTCCGTTATTTTTGTATTATAATAACGAAAAAGTTCTGATAAATACAGTAACACCCACGTTTGTGCAGACTTTTGATATAAATATTGGTTAATTTTAAACGGAGACGGTGAAGATGGTGTGTCTATCTTTAGGACTTCATATTTCACCTACTCAAGTCAATGTGGGACTCCATTTACTGTGGGGTTACCCCATCATCATAATAAGGTCGTCAGTCCTAAGACTGGTTGGACATGTACCTCCACTCTTTCCTATCCTGAGCTAAACTTCGCATTTCCCTAAAACTAGAACAGCCCACATCCTTAACTATTGTCGAACAGTAATCTAATCTAGATCTACCTCTACCCCTCCTAACTCCAGTTTCTGCCTCTAATATGTCTCTGACTAGACCTTTATGCCTGAGAAGGTGTCCTACCAACCTATCTCGCCTATTTTTTTTTACCTAACTGTGTATATGATTTACGAATGCGACTGCGTTGTTTTTTATTTTTCTTTAATTTTGTTAAAAAAACATGCTGGTTGACACCCCAGAAAGGAACCTATTTTTTAAAGGTAACATTGAGGTGTCCTTAAACACGTATCATAATTTTTTTTATAGTAAAGAACACAGTTTACCGTAGAAATGTTTACTCCTCATTTCACATGCTCAGAAATTCTTTCAGTTTTTCGTCTCCAATTTTTATATTATTTCTACCACCACGATTGGACTTTCAATTTTCTAGTGATATATTGTGCATCTATTTACGAGTACGTAATAAAGTACGAAAATTAAACAGTTGGGCATACTATCTTCTGATTCAATAATTTATTTCTACATATAAAACTTCAAATAATGGTCAATATTCTCTCGAAACGGTTAGACGCGACTTCGATCACATCGGATCAACAAGTAGCAGACAATTTCGACAAAACACAGACTTATCCTATCCACTGCCTTCAACAAGGCTCATAAAGACATAGACATGTTGTCCTGAATCCACGGCGTAGCTACCTTCACGTGGCTATCTTAAGGCAGCAGGCAGAGTGGATATGTATTCTGTCAAAACTGTCTACGGCAACGGGCTTCCACAAAATGTAACAATATACTATAGATGGCATTTACCACGCTGTTTGTAGTGATTCATAAAACGCTGTCCTAAGGCAGCAGGTAGAGTGGGTCTGTGTTCTATAGAAATTGTCTACGACGCACTGATGAGATCCAATGAGATCAAAATCGCGATCCGCCTCACCCCTTCTTTTCTGTTTTGGTTACGTGCTTATTACGTAAGGTAGCTACACCGTGGATTCAGGTAGATACCCTTATCGGCCTTGTTGAACATTTTTAAATTCCACAAATTGTAGCATATACTGCAGATGACGTTTACCATACTATTTGTAGTAATTTATGTAGAATAACAAAATAACGTTTGAGTATATTCAATCCAAGTGAATATTAATCAATTTATATCATTATAAACCCAATATAAATGGAAGATGATAGGAAATAGGTAATAATTTTTATAAAAACTCACCTCTTCCACTTCTGCCAACAAACCTCAGATCGTTAAATTTTGCTACTTGGTTCTTCATAACTGTTGTGTAGTTCTTTAATTCCGCACAACAATTTTCATCGTTACCGGCTCTAACAGTCACTACGGTACCGTCCCCAACATCCCCCAAGGCAACCACTTTAAACGCCACGGGAAGAGTCTTGTTCGATCTCCAATGAGACGGCAATGCAGAACAAAGGAAATATGGACTACCCGTTCGAACAAGTTCATTCGGATGTTCTGCCTGTAATTCGTGAATTAAATGTTCCGTCCACCAAAGATCCTGATTGTTGCCACCGTAACTCCCCGTGGAATCACACATGGTTCCGATTCGGGGCCACTCCTGTTTGGAAATGTTCGAAGACAATAATCCCACAGGTAAATGCATATGTGACACGTGCTCGGATGATCCCAGAAAATATCGAACAACAAAACCTCAACAACTTCTTTACTGTCCGATAAAATAGATACAGTCGATTTTTCTTGTGCAATTTGTTGAATATAATAAATAATTCCTGTCAATCAGTTCGGTAAGCAAAATTTTTATTTGAAGAAGAAAATGAAGAGATTTTTAAGAGTTTTTGTAATTCTTAAAAAACACTGAAGAACTATTAATAAGCACGTGCGAATAAAGTGAGTTTGTAGGAATTTACTTGAGCAGCATATAAATAATGTTGTATGTGCAGCTGAATTTAAGTTCGTTAATATCAAAGACCTGGAAGGCAGTGTCACAAAGAGTGTTTCTTCGTACCATCATAGTGTTCCACTTCAGTTTTTGTGCGTCACGGTTGAAAAGAACAACAAAGTTTTTGGACCGGTTAAGTAAAACAGATATCGAAGGTAGTTGTCGTTCAAAGGCTGGACATTATCGAGACGTGGTCGACGTAAAGTCGAAATGATGTTCACTTGTTGTAAACGAACGACTGTGTCGTCGCAAATGATTTCTGAAACCTTTTCTCTCCACGCTAATTGATGAAAATGGCACGCTGGATAGGCACGGAAGGGGGAAAAAAACGGACCGCCGTTATGGACGGAAGGATAGAAACGAGCACTGTGATAAATTTTACGCAGGTGACCAATAAGTGCACCGATGGAATCTTCGGATGGACGTAATCTGAAAACAAAACGAAATTCTCATTATTACAAAAACCAAAAAGATAATTATAAAACTATTACTTAAGGTAACATTCATTTTTGAGTAATTTGCATCAGCTAGAGACATTATCGAATATACAGGGTGGTTTAATGACAAAGCACGAAGAAAAGACTCTGAATTTCCATTATCTTCCTGATTTTGCAGACACAAAAAGTTCCGAACGGCTCAGGTGAATATATGTTTATTTCTTTTAACAATAATGTACCAAGGTTCCAATCAGTGCCTTATGAACTTTATTTTTAGTATTTAGCAAAAAAGGAAATACAATAATATTACGAAGAAAATAGAACGGATCTGGAACGAAAACTATAAGATAGAAGAAGAAGTTGACGCGAATTCAAGTACATATAATATGGGGGAGAAAGCACATATATATAAATGACATATGCAAAAGGGCGGTGGCAGTTATGTCACAAATATGGAGCATATATAGAAGCAAATTCGGAGAGGATTTTAGTAAGAGAGGATGCTAATGTTATGGTGGAAAGTACTCTGTTATATTCGGTGAAAATACATTTGCAGAAAAAAAGAAATGAAACAGAATCGGTACAAGAAATATATCTGAGGAATGTATTTGCTCTACACAAATGCAGTCTAAGATATTATACACTTAGAGAGGAAACAAAGGTAGAAAAGATCCAGATACAAGCTGCAGTAAAATTTATTAAATATGTACAGAGGGTAATAAAAGATTTGAAAATAACAAAATGGAGAAAAAAGAGAGTAGACATTTATGCAGATATAGGAAAAGATATAAAGGAAGAAAACATGATTAAATGATTATATAGTGGAAAAAGAAGAAAATAAAACAAGTAAAAGAAGAAATGAAAGAAACAGTAAGAAAATCAAGATGTGCAAAAGAATATCTACAATGGAGACAAGAAGAAACTCCAGAATATTGTAAAAAAAAGACAAATAAAGGACATAAAAATAAACAAATTACTTTTAGAACAGAAAACCAATGAAAAGAAAGCACATAATGGCTAGAAAGCAGCAAAAAGATGTGCAAACTATGTGAAGAACACGAACAAACAGCAGAACATTTAATATCATTGGCATACATGGCATGAAGGGCTGATGAAAGAATGGAAAAATTAATAGCAAGACCAAAGGAAGGAATGGCATGGATGAAGAAGATAGTAGGTCTACGAAAATGATTTAATAAACTTGATAAATTAATTAAAACTGTAAAAACTACATTAAACGACACTGTGTATAATGGGATAGATATCAGTCGTTTCTACAATTGAAAATGTTTTTGGATGTTTGTCCTTGTTTTACCTGTTTTAATTAGTTTATTAATTAAAATTCTGCTTTAAGGATGCTGAAAATACCGTAAATAGAAAAGGTTAAAAATAAGGACACATTACAAATAGTAACAGAACAGAAGGCGTTATAAAAATCAGTAAGAAATGGACGGGATAAGTTGGTAGGACTTTCATATTTCAGACATGAAGGGGTAGTTAGAGACATATTAGAAGCAGAAACAGGAGTTAAGGAGGGCAAAGGCAGACATAGATGACACTTAGTAAACAATTCGAGATGTAGATTGTTCTTGTTTTCGAGAAATGAAAAGATTATAGCTCAGAAAAGAAAGAGTGAAGGTGGGTGCCCAACCAGTCTTCTGGCTGAAGGCTATTAATTAAGTATTAATTTTTCACTACTTACTTTAAATAATCTGTACAATTGTTTCATCTTATACGACCTTCTTTAAATCACATGTAAATCGGTTAATTACTATTAGTCCAGTCATATTAGGGGTGTCATCTTAGAATGAGAAATAATAAGCTGTAAACTTGTATAAACCTTTATTTTGGCGTTCCAAATATTGTATCAAAGGTCACAAAAAATCTCGCTTCATATTGTTTCGATGACATTTGCATTTATTATAAAAATTATAGAAAATAAAATTTTTTATAAATTTTATTCCAATTGTTTTTTTATACGCTCAACCTTTTTAAGGTAGACAGCGAAGAACTCGCAGCATTACACTGGCCACAAGCTAAAGAACATTGCAACCCTAATTTCTTGTATCCGCAAAGTGAACCACAACCATTCTTGCATTTGCAAAATATTGTGTTTACTAGTTCATCTGGAGCCGATGGTAATATTGTCGTTATCGGTTCCAGGAGTTCATTTTGCAGCACCCAACCCCATTTTTGTGGTTCTAAAATATTCCCAAACCAAGTTTGAATTTTATAGTGTACACGACTGATATGTTGATTACCGGGACTCACGGTCAACTGTGCTAAGCGCTGCGCGTTCTCCGCGCTCTACCTCGAAAACGGTTAAACATATAAAAAAATATTTGGAATAAAATTTGTAGAAAATTTTGTGCTCTACAATTTTCATAATAGGTGCAAATGCCAGTAAAACCATAAAAAACGAAATAGCGATTTAGTGAAATTTGACCTTGAATATCTTAAGATGCGGACACGAGATGTTATATGACTTTTGGCACAACTTTTAGAATGTCAAAATAAAACAAATTTACAATTATTTACAGATTATTATCTCTCATTTCGAGGTTGAAGTACAGATACTCTGTAAATTATTGAATAGGTGTTATCGTGATATTTCAAATTTATGTTTACATCCGTCAAGACCACAGAACAAATCCTCATGATTTGTTAATATAAAATAATATAAAAAAAAACGTTTTAACATCAGGTGACGTCAAAAGAATTATTTCACATGTTCTTGGAATGTTTACTGTTGTAGCATCCATATGTGTGAGTCATGCATGGTGTAACTCATCTCCTTTTCGGAGCGAGAGAGTAAAAAATCTATAAGAACGAGCACAATATATACCTACAGCTTCTTGTTTCGTTAATTAAATTTACACATTAGGTTAACCGGAAATATTGAATTCCTTTCTAAAAAGATATTCAAAAATAAGCACTCGATGCTAAACATCAGACTACTTTATGTGTGTCTTTCAAAAGATTTACTAAGTGGATTTTCAAATATATTCCTTCCCAAAATTTAATGGTACGGTAAATACAATAATGATGAAGGTCTGCGTGATTGGCTTTTAACTATTTTTTTTTTATATTTTGCAGGATATAGTTATATTCTAACCCTCAATAGATGCGTTGCCTCAAAAACATATGCGATGAAGATATGATGACGATGATAGAAATCCAAAAATATAATCAAATGATCCTATAATGTTTAAAATTTGTCTAATTTAGCGTGTGTGGGGGTTAATTTTTGTGAATTTATCTCCAGCTACCAATCACCCGTTGAGAATGAGTGAGAATGTTGGAAACAAAATGTTCTTTAACGTTTCTAGGATGGTTATCAGCTAGAATATTCTAGAATATCTAGGGTTTTCCCCAAGTAAAATATTTTAGAGTGAACTAGACCGGAAGAATCAAAAACGTTCCGGAATATTCGAAGATGGACAATGGGTTCGAACACGAAATTAGGGCATTTTCATATACTTCGACCAAAGTTTAGAATCTTCTATAACATTCAAGATTTTTTCGCTTGATGTGAGTTTGGGTTTACTATTCAACTACCAAACAGAGAATATAAACCAATTGAGGCGGATTGTCGTTAGCAAATAATAAAAACGCCATTTGTGGTATTTTCTAAAACGCGCTGTTAAGACAGCAGGTAAAAGTTGGTCTATGTTCTGTCGGAGCTGCCTGCGACGCGCTGATGAGATCCAAAAAGATCGAAATAGCGATCCGCGTCTGGCATTTTCGACAGAATACAGACCACTTCGAATTAATTTATTCGATTATGGTAACATGTCTATCACGTTGAGGTTAGCTACGCCGGGACTCGTTTCAGCAAGTAGATATCCATATATTTAAATGGACCTTGTTGGACCATACGTAATCCTAAAATGTAGCATCGTACTACAGATGGCGCTTACCGCGCCATTTGTGGTATTTTCCATATTTGGAAAAGGTTTTTGGTTTACATCATCCGCCTTTTTTTGAAAATGCTAAGGTAATGAAACACGTATCAACAGTTTTTTCAAAATTTTTCGACAAAATGTTAAAGTGAATTAATTTATGAATTAATATTTTCCACTAAAGGTAACCTCAAATTCATGAGCAAAACTTGTTGCTGCTGTTACGCCCTCGCCAGAAATTGAACAATTACTTTTCCTAAGCTTAGTGGTAGCACAATAGTGCAATTAACCCTACAAAAATTGTTCTAAATTTTACGACAAATTTTATTAGAGTCATTTGATTACATTAAAATACTTATTTGTTTGTAGACAGTTCGTGATCTTACGATTAATATTTTTTGCTTCCATACAGCTTTTCGGTAGGAAATATTACTAAAGCAGATAAATATCTATGTATAGGCACAGAGCCGAACTGAAGATTTTGGCCCGGGGTGCGATGTAACCAAATGGCCTGATATAGAAGGGTAAGTGCAATTTTAACAGCACTCGTTTTTAAATAAATTTAAGAAGTCTTTACCTCAGTTTTTTTAATTTCTCTTTTTGTTATATTTTTTGAGTCATTTGGCCAGGGGTGCATTTGCACCTCTGCACCCCGGGCCAGTCCGGCCCCGTATAAGCACAATTTAAAGAAAATTGTAGCAAGATACAAACACTTATTGTTAAAATATTGCATATTCAAATTTATAAAATTGTTTTCACTTAAAAGTAAATGAAGTGAAGAATAGACTCAGCTACCGCAACAGAGGTTTCTCTATTTCTTTACGCACTGCAAAATATATGGAACAAAAAAAATGAATAGAGTTATTACAATGACGTGACGTTTTATTAACGCATTAATATTTTCTCGAACACGGAAAAATCGCCAAACAAAGGAAACCAGATTGTAGTCGTGACTATAAAAACTTAATTTTCTCAATAATTTTCTTGTTGCTTATTATTTATTCAATACATTAATTGATTAGTGGTAAAATTGTGCGTATTACCGTGTAAAGAGCAATGCAAAGAGAAGAATCGTGCCGAAATTCTTGTC